AAAACCATTTCAGTAGTACGGTATGGGTACTGACAGACCACTGTGTATTAGAAAAACATAAAATAAGACATGAGTTATCTTTTAACGATTATTGGCTCCGAAGCTGAAGAGAAAACTGAAGAGGTAATTGTACTCTACCTCTTGTTTCAATGCCCGTCATTGGCGAAGAGAATATTCAAAACATTTGACGACACTTTTCTTACTGATCTGACAAAGTTTCAATATAAAGAACGTAGCTAAGTTTATAGACTTGTCAGGTTGGATCCCTTCTAGTCAAATAGATTTTTAAAAGAATACTGTTCACGAGCTAGATATTTTAAAATTCTACCTTTAAGTCGGTATATCAGGTTTAGCATATAGATAATATTCACTGGCCGTACCACAACTGGTTATTATTTGTACTCAAATGAGTTAGTTATAAGCTATTTCTTACAAGATATTTATAAAATCTTGCTAAAGCCTCTTAAATAAAGACGTCTATGTAAGAATCTAAATGAAAAGCACCTAACATCTAGCTTGGCGATTATAAAATTATATGGTACCAGGACTTATAGAATTAAACAATGCAAAGACATTAGTTTTTTGTGAAAGAGATTAGTTATAATGTCTCTAACTCAAAAAAGAAAAAAGTATAGAACTGTCAATTGCAAATATAAGAAAAGAGAAACGTAGAAATAGAAAAGTTTCCTTTTACATTATCAAAGAGGCGAAAAACTCCATTTCTAATATAACACCTAAAACGGTACCCTAGGAGTACAATGAACAATGTTGCTCTATCTGGCGGTTTTGTATGAAGTAAATTTTCAAGATATAAGAATAAAAGATTTACACCAATTTATTTTTAATTTTAAAAAGAACTCATAAATTTACTTAAAACAAGTTTGGAACGTACATGAAAACTTTACCCTGTACCTACGAACATTTTTAAAAACTGCTCTATGTGTCATAGGTATATTTAGATAAAAACGTGTAGATTGTGAAGCGCGGAGGTAACGTCACACCGAAATGAGTAGTTTTTAGTTTCAAATTTTTTTCATTTAAATTAAAATCTAATTTAACTAAAAGTAATTACGCAAAACCAGCTTTTTTTTATAATGTTATGAATAATTTCTTGAGTAAAAAGCCGTTCACTTGTTCAACTTGTTACGCTTTGTTGATTTCTTAATCTTTTTCTTAAAGAAAAAATAACTTGGAAAAGGAATTTTAGTGGTTTTCTCAAAACGATTTCTGCGAACAAACAAATAAATGTTCAAAAAGTCTACGAGAGCGCTAACACAACATTTAACGTAAAGATATTTCCTAATGGCCGCATTCAAAATAGCAATTATTTACTAAATGCAAAAAAGTAAGTTAATAAAAAAAATAAAATAATAAAATAAAAGAAAAAAAACTATACAAAATTCATACTCAAAACTTAAACAAATTGAAAGCCAAACAAAAAAATACTTAATTTTTTTTAATGGCAATGGCAACTCTCGAACAATTGAGCTCTCGAAAATCGTTTGGAGATGAGCTCCCGAGTTTACAGAAAGCAGCAAAAAATTATAAAAAAATTATAAAAAAAAATAAAATAAAAAAAATGCAGGAAAAAAAGTAATAATTTTAGTGTTGGTTGCTCTTGTGAAGTCGGTTATGATGTCATTCATTTTGGTTCGTTAGATTCGCAATGTTGTTAGACTGACTGTAGATGGAAAAAATTTCGCTTATTTATTGCAATGAAATGATGTGTTTTTAATTTGGAAATTGGCAAATTTGATTTGGTCTGTTTGCTTCACCCTTACGAACGACTGCTGTCATTGACTGACTGCGTTTGGCTGATGAAAATAACGAAAAATCTTCATTCAGCGGCAAATTACTGGACTCTTCTAGTATAATTAAGCGTGGAAGACAATAGAAATAAATAATTAATAACTTTCAGCACGAAAAATTTTTTAATGGAAGAAGATAGGAAATGAAGTAGTGTGACGAAAACATCATCACAACAACCATAGCGCACTCTAGTGGTAACGAACTGACAACAAACCCGTGTTATTAAAAAAAGTCGAACAGAGTACAGATCGAAGTACTTTTCACAACTAAAGAAATCAATTATTATAACATAATTAAGTATAAAATGAGTACTACCTAGAAAATGTGTACACTGTTTTAAGTGAACATTAGAATAAGTGAACACTAGTTTAATTGAAGGCTAGTTTATGTGAAGACTAGTTTAAGTAAAGACTAGTTAGAGTGAAGACTAGTTTAAGTGAAGACTAGTTTAAGTGAACACTAGTTTACACTAATATAAGTAAACAGTAGTGTAAGTGAACGCTTATATAAGTGAACACTAATTTAAATGAACACTTGTTTATATGAACAATGATTAAATTAAACATTAGTTTAAGTGAAGACTGGTTTAAGAGAACTCTAGTTTAAGTAAACACTAGTTTAAGTTAACACTTGTTTACACGACCATTTCTTTTCTTTACAACAGCCCCCCTATTCTGTGTACTTGATAAATTCGCCATCTTGCTTATTTATCAAGGTTGACAATTTATCAAAGTTTTAATATTCGGTACCATAAATGAAAAGCTTATTTTTTGATAAATTGTCAAGATATGTGTTGCACATTATCGAATACGAATAAAAAGTTATCGAATAAAATTATCGAATACGAAAAGCACTTATGTAAAATTCTAAATACTAAAAAACTTACTGACTGTATATTTAGTAATTATTAACTACAGTCCTTTAAACAAAATAGCAATTCTAAATTATATAAACGAGGCTAATATTTCTCATGGCACTGTCAGACCTAATATGCGCTTTGTGTCTAAGCAACAACTGAGTGCACTTAAAAATAAAATTTCGATACATCTATCATATAGTCAAGACATTGCAGCATCGAACTCATACCAGCATTATGTTATATAGAATTTGGTCAGACATTGCGATTAATATTTGCAACATTTATCAAACTCTTTCATTTATATGTAACAAAATCTTTTTGTTAATAATATTTAATTTATCAAAATTTCTTAAATATGAAAATTTGAAATTTTATTAATATTTTCTAGTTGCTAAGTACTCATCATCAGTATTTTTATTATTTATTAATATTAATATTTAATATTAAAATTATTAAAATATTAATACTTTTTAAAAAACTCTATAGATTATAAAGTGTGCTCTATATCACAGCTGTCCAAAGCACGGCCCGCAGGCCACATTCGTCTAATGTTTGAGCGGTCCGTGACATGTTTTTAATCTACTACGAAAATTTCTTTTGGTGTACTGGTAAAACTACATTATTTTTTTTATGGTATACCAAATAAATAAAATTATTGATAAATTAATATAACTAAATTTAAATTATAACCGTATGTTTATTTTTATCGAAAACAACTATGAACGTATGTATTTGTTTCTGCGGCCCTCCAATCTTTATAGTGATTTGTATTGGTCCGCGATCGCATCTGGTCTGGACAGCCCTGCTCTATATAATTGCCACGTAGAATCTGCTAACTATCTTAGATAAGCGAGTTGTATATCAACTAGAGGAACTGGTTAACATGAACAACAACAACTAAGCCATTATGGATACATGATAAGACATGATATTATATTGGATTAGCATTTTAGCTAGGATAGAGTTGCCACCGAAACGCTAGCTACTGCTGCCAACCCTACTAAACAACTAATATTAATACCAATAAAACCTTTAATAAATACTAAATATGTTAAAATTGGAACTAAATTATTAGAAATAAACAATCATGCTCTAAATTTCTTTATTTATTTATTAAAAATAAATACTAGAAACAAATAATAGGGCAAGACCTAAAAATTTTGACGCTATAGAAATTCACTCAAGAACTGAAGACAAAACATGTACTTACTAACTAAATAAAACAGCTGTACATACTATAATTAAAAATGTAAATAGAATATATATAAATATATAAATAAATAGAATACATAAATAAATAGAATAAATAAGTGGAAATGTTTAAATAAATAAGTGAAAAATTCAAAGTACGAACCGGGCATTAAACGGGCGAACCCGCACGGCAACCTTCAACGACGACATTGTTTACGGAATTTTTTTTATTTTTCTATTTGATGGAACATTAAGGGATGTTTGGCTTGCCGTGTTCCGCAAAGGGTAAAAAAATCTAAATATTTTTATATTTAGAATTCCGGTGCTGTTGAGGGTGGCGGTCGGGTAGAAATTAATAACGTATGCACGCACATACACGCACTTGTCGCATAAATAAAAAAAAATCTCAACTAAAAAGGCGCCACTTTCTGCGTAAAAAAATTTCACTTGTGATGATTTTTTTTTTATTTTTTTTTAATATAACTAAGCACTAATCAAATCGAAAAACAAAAGAACTAAATTGTTACTACGTTGTGTTTTTGATACTATTTTTTCAATTCATTTTGTTTGCGTTATTTAGTTATTGTTGTTGTTTACTGATACGACGTTGGCCTTATTTTTCATTATTCCTTTTTGATGCGTTCTCTCGTTTTAGAAGTGGAGCAGCCGAATTTTTCATTATTTAAGCTTAGAAAATTAACACTCATATTTCATGTTGAGCTCATATTTAACAATTATTATTTTTGCATGATATTTTAAACATTATTAAAATTGAAATTTGTATTTTTTTTTCGTATTCACTTTTAAATTATTTTGTATACATTTTACACATTAGCAATGATGCTATTTTATTGTGATGTCACGCAATGTCTTCTCGGGCACTTCCAAACGCTACGACAAATCATGCACAAAACTTTGCAAAATTAAATTTAATTTGGCAACACAAAACATTATTCTTTCATCTATACCAAGTTTTTTTAGCATATTTTTACAACAATAAACACTTAATTGCTGTTTAAGCTACTAATAAGCAAAATAAAACAAACTATTTTCTTCAAGTACAAACGCTCCGCAAATGAACTATCGTTTTCCGTGAGTCAATAATAACTGAAGAGTACACAAATACAAATCACTCATTCTACTCTACAGTTCGAAATGTCAAAATGTTTTTTCGAATATGCGAACAAACTAAAGTAAAGTAGATGTAGCATAATGAAAATTTTAATAGAATTTAAATAGTTTCTAAAGGAATGTTAAAAATATTATCTTGTTTGAATATAAAATACAGAGTATTATATTTAGAGCACAATTTGTGTAAAATCAAATAATAGTGGTGTAATTCATAGTAAAAAAAATTGTTTTAATATCATGACAGTTTGTCAAAACTGTCAACAATATCTATTGTTGTATTTTGTAGCGAATTACAACTTCCTGATAATAATACATTCAAGTACCCAGCAATGTTCACAATCTGTTCCAAATTAAATCCTTTTAAATTATGGAAAAAAAATTAATTAATTACATTGAAAATTAATCATTGGGTAGAAACGTTTTATTGTGATATATAAAAAGATTTGTTTCCACATTTTCAAGGTCAATAAACAACTGCGATGAGGGGTTACATTAGATATATATATATAATATCAACACTGTATATATATTATGTATGTAATTTTATTTCCTAGAAATAAGGATTTGAAAATTTTCTATGAATAGTAAATTGTATTAACAAAAGTTACTACACAAAAAAATCTAAATTTTGTTATGCAGATATAAATTAGCGCTTACCTGTGAGATCATCACAGGTCATATATCATAATAAAACATTTCCGTCAAATAATTATGCATTAAGGGGCATAAATAATTTTTTCATAATAAATTTTTTTGTTTGTGAAAAACAGAAACTGTATTCAAAAATCTTACCAAGGTCAATCCAGTGAAGACGCTGGATAAGTCAAGGTTCAAGTTAGCTGATTTTGTTTAGGATTGCTTTGAATTAAATAAAAAGAGACAGAATATCATATTTTTGATAGAATATCAAAAGAAACTGAAATATAGTTTTCCTAAATCATGACATTATAATAGATAACGAACTAACTTGATTTAATGTTACCACGACAACATCTAACTTATCAATGTCTCACGTAGACAATAGATTTTAAATACTTTTTGCACGCTACCAACATAATATTTTAAACTATTTCCACATTAGATATATCAAGAAATATTTGACCCCAAATTTTATTTGAACCGTCACAACAAAAATATGATTTACAGGATTTTTAGAAATACTAAGATTTTATATATAAAATAGAATAGATCATCATCAACGCAGATAGTTTTATTTACTTATAGAAACAAATTTTTTAAACATTTTTCTCATATTTTGAATTTAATAAACATATAAATTCATCACAATAAGAGAATTACGAAGTAGGCACATCTAAACGGAATACACACTTTTCATCTAAAACCGGACGGAGACAGGACAAATATTGAGAGTGACATAGAAAGTGGACTCTTTATTTTTTACGGTAATGCGGTTATAGCCTACTTTGGGAGATGCCTACCAATTTCTAAAAAAACATTCATTTTCTTGGTCAGCCTATATTAAACGATTAAAACGTTATACACAAATTTAAAAATCTTCATATCAATATCAAAGAAGAGAATTAAATTTACGTAACTAATTCTAAAGCTCCAAAGCTCGACTGGAACTATTGAACCATCGATGCAAACAATTTCATCATGATCTAATTAACACTTAAAGTCGTTAACTGATGCTTCTTTTCAGGCCTGCTCTATTGACTTGCTTGTAAAAATTCTTCTGATCTGACTCAAAATATATATTTGTATAAAATTATACATATAATTATTGCCATACGTCAAATGGTGGGCTTAGCGACATGGAAACCAACGACACACAACTTAGCTTTTAAATAATTTAAATACATTCAATTTGTCATTTTTTGGAAATTAAATAATTATTTTAAATAAAAAGAACTTTGAAAAATCAATATATTTTTGTATTTTGATGTTGTTAATTGAGAAACTTAAATGTATGAGTCATTCAATTTATGACACCATTCCAATGCGTACTCGTAACCGAGAAAAGTTGCTGCATTAAAAGGTATTGCGCGAACAACCAGCATCCATGAACCGCGAAACAGACGACGTAATCCATATAACTAAGCAATGAAAAAAAATAATTTAAAGTCAAAAAACAATCACCGACAGAAACCTATGACCGATGCTCTTACCTTATAATTCTTGACCAAACAGTGACGTATGTTACGATATTGACGATTCTCTTCGGCCTGCATAATTGTTTTCACCACGTCGAACGGTATAACACATACCCATGACAGAATTCCTGCCCAGGCACCAGCTAATGTAGTCACAAGAAAATCTACATTTCCACTTTCTTTAAGTAGACGCCGCTCCTGACGTTTTCGTACGAATTCTGTTGTGTTCAAATAGTCCACAGTTTGGCGGTAAACTAGCATATATATGCCATATGGAAACACATCACGGCACATCATTGGTACTAATCCCCGATATATACCGGAAATACCATCAGTCTGTACGATTTTTCTGAACATACCCCATGGAGTACGTCGCATGCCATAAACGTATTCGTTATAAACTATAAGAAGAATGTAGACAAATTACCTAGAAGAAGAGTAGTACATAGTAAATAAAAACTTACAGCAATGGGTCTGTAGGCGAACTTTTATGAGTTCAATTGGACAAGCAATAAAAGATTGTGCGAACCCTGCTATGGAACCCGCAACAAACATGTTCTGATATTCTAACTGCTCCCGTTGGTAGTCGCTGTGGCATACGTGACGCAATTGTCGCAAGTGATTTCCATATATACCAAAAAGTATTGAGTTAATGGCACCTGTGGTTACGAACGGAAAGAACATACCCCTGTAGAAACCGTTGAACTATGAAAAAGTAGAAATATTTTTATGGATATATGTATGCTACGCTTTATGGGAGTTCCTAGCTTACGCCATTATTCCGCAGATAAATTTGCCGCATTGCACTTGGCACAGAAGTGTTTGAAGCTTGCTGCCATGTTTTGATCGTGTCCAATGGATGCCCTACTAAGACACCGCATGCACCTTTCGCCAAAAGATATAAAAATTTGGACTATATTAAAATTATGCCAAAAAACAAAAATAAAAATGTTTACAAAATGTATTTTATGCCATATGTTGAAATGCTTATTTCGTCTGCCACTTGTTTGTTTGTTGATTCTGAAACAGGTGCCAAAATGCCAAACACTACGAGTGAAGACACACAAATTGGGAATCGAAAGAAAGATCATGGACATCGCGCACCGTTCAATGCGGCCGAGAAAAATTGTGTGCAGTTGAGTGACTAAGTGTGTGAGAAGCGATGTGGTTGAATGAACTGAACTATTGGCATACATGTGAGTGGTAGGAATATTTATGGTTACATCACCCACAGAGAGAAGGGAATACGGAAATAGTTGCAGCACATTTTCTTAACACAAAGATTGATATACAAACAACCATACATACAAAGACATTTATAGACGTTGTAGAGTTCACTAGAACTTCATCACTTACCACCGAAGCAACCCGCCACAAAATCACAATAATTCTCCCATTTAGTTCTTTTTTTCTTCATAATTCAATAAAACTTATGCAAGATATCCAAACAGATTTAACAAAAATTTTAATTAATTTAATTTTGTCTAATTTTTGCTTACTAGAAACTTAAACTTAAAACAAAAATAAAAAATTCTACAAAATACGTTCCGACGACGTTTTACTTGTCTGACCTCATCGATGCTCAATGTTCACCGTTGTCGAAGTGACTGCAACATGCATTCAACACAACACAATTAGAATTTTCTTCTCGAAGCTTTTGAACACTGCTAGAGAGGGAAATATTTGAACAAGAAAGCTTTCAGAAACAATCTATCTCATTGTTATGTTACTATTGTTAATATCTAATAACTGATATCTACTTAAAAATTTATTTAATATATTATATTTTTCCATTCAGCTTTAGAGATAAGTGCAGCGTAGTGTTTAGTCCAGTAGTATTGTATTGTAAGATGGGGTTAATATATCAAAACTACAACATAGTTTTAAATAATGCCAATTTGGTTTTAACGTATTAACGTATCTCTTAGTATAACGATTCCTGTGATTTTCGCGGTCTAATCACAGTACCTTAATATAGTACCTTCGTATCACCAACTTATACAATTGTCATTTTCATAGTTTCAGAGTGAGGAACTTCCCTTGGTAACTTGAAAGAATAGATAGCTAGCATTCTAGTCCAATTAAGTTTAAGATATAGTCATGTACTATATAGAGGACGAACTCCTGAAAACCAGTTCTACTACGGTACGTTGTCGACCGCATTTAATTGTGGGATTGTCTAAATCCAATCCTATTCATGGAAACAAATCTGAATCAAATATTATATAGAGAAATCACAATGTTTGCAAGCAAACCAAATAGGCTACTTCTGAAAACAGTAGAAAGACTACAACTTTTCTTATAATTCCATGTGCAAAGATTAGATATTACTTCTTGGTGCGAACACTGGTCATCTCTTTCGTCTTGATTTTGCTGACAGCAACTCATGTGTACTTTGCTTGGACGCCAACGACATGTTCTATGCTTTTGTTCCGTTCTCTCAAGACTCAAACTTGAAGTTCTCGAGTTCGTAGTTGTAACAAACCTAAATATTAGCTCTCTATCTCTTGTAAGCGATTTACGCTTTCTCAAAAGAAGTATATTCGAATGAGATTTACATTAAATGTCTGAATGCAGCTCTGAGCACTACGTTTAATGACGGAACCCATCTGTTGTCATATCATAACACTCATATTCAATTGGCCAGATTCCTTCACATTGACGCTTACTAGTTTCACCTATCTAAGCTTTCATCATCCTGTAACTCACACAGTCACCACGGTTATTTCGGAACTTTTATTTGACCGATCCTGGAACTTAACACTGCAAGTCATTGTTTTGATTTTTTGATATGTATGTATAAATCAAACAATATAATCTCATATATGCATAACAGTGACGACGCGTGCCCTATCTGGAAGGGTGTGCGGCCCTTCTTTAATGTTGTTTTTACATGTACCACTTATACTAAAATATATGAGATCTTTTATTAATAATAACTATATTATATAAGGCAACAATATATTCGCGCAATATTATATTAACAATTCATTAACAAAATAACATATTAAACAAATTAAATTAATAATTTATATACAAGTTTAATATTATATCAATATGGAAGAAACAAAACTTTTCACATAATTCTCGTAACATCAAACCAAATTTTTTCAAACAAAAGAGTTTGTACTTAGAAACATACATGTTTGTGCAGTGATCAAACAAAATCGAAACCACTTGCAATGTGCGCACAAGTACCCCGCACAATAAGAACAGAAATTCGTGGGTGCTGCTGTTAAAAGGGGAGAGACGAAATGTGATAAAAATGTATGGTGAGATGAGCTGCAAACTTCAGCCGCTCATGCAACCACTTTGGCAAATCATCATGTTGGATTCGTATGCATACAGTTGATATTCGAATAGAACAGAAAATTACTCTCATACAATTCCCACTATATATATCTCTATTTCTGATATTACGAACGGGAGCACACGCACATTATTTTGTTCATATGTAACGTATGAATGTGCGGCCAACTTCTTTGCACACAAAGGGGAGAGACGAAATATAATAGAAATGTTCTGTGATTTGAGCTGCAAATATATGAGCACAACTAACAAGTATAGCGGCTAACAGAAGCAAATTGATTGAGTTTTCATAGACAATTATATTTAATTGTTTTTACTAAAACTTTAAAAATATATATTTATATGGAAATGTAATAAATAATAATAATTCTTGATGTAAAGATACTTAATACATTTATATACCTATGTTATTTAACATTTTGCAAATTATATTAGGGTGTTCACCGCACACCTCCGCACCTTAGAGCAGTCGTCACTGATGCATAAAGTACGTTAATAATATTAGTAGGAATATAGAAACGCTGTTTTATTGTTTTCTCATTCGGTTTCAAAAATTTTCTACTGATTGCAATTTATTTTTTTTAATCTAAGATTGAGTCTATTCCAGTTGAACTATTATTTCATCTAATCTAGAAATAAAAAAAATCCGATTTGATATTGCTTTATTCGCTTTTCGAAAGTTCACTAACTAGTTGTCATTTATTTCCACCAACCGGACGGTCCTGCTTTCTGAAACAGTTGAATTATTACAGAGCAGTATTAGTGAGCGGCTTCGCTGAATGGAAGAAAATACTCCGTCTACTCCGAACCCGCTGGTAGAAAGCGCGATGAAGGACGTCCGCATCTTTGGTGAAAGGACTAAGTTACCAATGATATGAAGGCACTCGGTACTACTAGCAAGCTCTTGATCAGGCTAATTGGTGAAGGTAACTGGATACAGTTAATAATGATTGACGTCTGTAATGGTCAACTAAACTAGGAGAGCGTTAGTGAACCACAGAATTGTATCATCAATTATGTATTGGACTTATATGTAATGAGAACACATCGTGGTGTCTGTCTATCATTAATACCAATGTATATCCACAATATATATCCATTTAGTTATTGTAACAAGCAATTTTTTTTAAATAATTTTTATTGTTGATTGATTTATCTTAAGATAATTTTTGCTTGCAGCAAAAATCTGCTTAATTCATTCATTCTTTTTCATTTCAGTTAATTAATTTTTATATAATTTTTTTCTTGTTTTTATTATTTTTAAATTCAGAGTATTATGCCTGAATACAATTTTTATTTATTCATATTTATTTAATTTGTTTTTCTTATGTTTGTTTTTAATTTTGTTTAATTTTTGTTTGCAGTTTTATTTTTGTTCTTTATTGTTAATACCATTAACAACTAATTTAATTATTAGTTGCATTTAATAATTTCGTATTATTACGATGTACATGCTAAGGTTTATATTTTTTTTTTTACTTTTGTTTTGTATAATTTTTTTCTTCTAATTCATTATAATTTCTCATTTTCATTAAATACATTTTTATAAATATTTTTTATGTACTATTTTTATATATTATTTTTATTTATTTGAAATCATAGCAAAAGTTTCAAATTTAGTAAAAATATTTTCATTTTCTTGCCATTTTTTATACATACAAAAATTCATATGAACTACGTGTAAAAATGTACAACAACACAAAACGTTTAAGTTTAAACAAATTTTAAATTAAAAATATATATTTTTAAATACATAGTAATATAATTAATTAATTAATTAATTGATTAATTAATTAATTGAAATTGTATTGGTTATCAATGAGAATGTATATTTAATTATTGTTATTAATAAAAAAGAGATAAACATTTAAATCAAAATCTTGTGTTAATTACGAACATTAAACCGACGTTAGAGAAGCGTATTTATGACTTTATTATGCTTTTACATATATATATATTTCTTGTGTATATATATGTATGCATTTATAAATTATAAAATATAAAGTAAGAATATATATTGAAAAAATTTAAAAAAAAATTATTTTCAATATTTTTATCATATCTCATTTAGCATATAATTTTCATTTTTAAGTTAACAGAAAGAAAAATTTTAATTATATTATAAATTTTTATTAATTTTTTATTAACTTAAAATATTTTGGTTATTGTTTGTTATAGATTTTTATGTGCTGAATTTTTTAAAATAAAAATAATTTAAATAAAATTCAATAATATATATTTAAGAATAAACATGTGAATATTTTTGAATAGCTTTCACATCAATTATTTTTCATTTTAGATATTTTATTTTTTTTTAAATTGTTTTTTATTATTTCAAAAATTAAGTTTTGAATTTATTTCTCTTATTATTATGCTAAGCGTTTTCTCATACAATTATTTTTATTTACTAGTTTTGCAAACTTTTTTTGTATATTTTTTTCTTTTTTTTATTTTTATATCATTTATTACATACTTAATTTTTTTACTTACACACTTTTTAGGTTTTTAATATAAAGGTTAGAAAATAATTTTTATATTTAACTTATATGTATATATAAATTTTAGAAACTATATGCTTTAATATAATTTAACAAAAAATAGAATTTTTAAAGTACCCTCTTTTACACTATAATTTTGTTTAAGGAAAAAATAACTTGCATTAAACCGTTTTTGTGGGTTTTTCTAAATATGGCTACGCCTATTGCACCAGGATTAAAATAGCGCTAAAGTGATATAAGCAATTCATATAATAGCGTACTTCTTGTCTATCTTCAGCACCTTTAACCAAGCACATTGGGCGCCACGTTAACGTTTCTAGGTATTCGAAAAAAACTTACAAATATATTCCATAAGTCGATATATTTCGTAATTACATATTAACTTTTGTAACGAATTGTCTCTATTAAGTTTTTCAGGCTGCTATAATAATTTTAATTATTAAATCTTTCTGTAATTTATAACTATTTTCTTTTTGAAATGTAATACACATTAATTGTATTTTGCTAAAAAAATGTGTTGATTCTTATTTTAAAAACGTTTAAATGTTTTTTGTTTATTTTTGCTTTCTATATAAAAATCTTTTACGCTTATGTAGTTTTATGTTGGAAATCGCTATTTTTTGTTTTATATTTTTTATATTAATTTTGTGAACTTTTATTTTATTTTTAAAAAACCGTTAATTTTCGCTACTTGAAGTAAGAATTGATGACATATTTTTTTTATTGTATAAATGTTATCGAAAAATATGTTAGCGAAATATGAGTTAAAAACTTAAATTTAGAAATTCGAAAATCTCCTCACTAACAAATACATAAAGAATTTATAAAAATATGCGTTTGTGCGTTATTGAAAAAATTCTTAATTCTTTAATAAGAAAATATATGTGTAAGAAATACATTAATATTAATAGAAGAATGAAATATAAAAAAATTGAACAAAAATAAAATAAGAAATATATTGAAAAAAATGAAAAAAAAAAAATATTAATAACAAAATAGAAATTATATAGATCTTTTAACACAAACGAACTTCTTTATTATACTTCCATTTCAAATTTGCTAGAACTCTCTTACTACATATTCAATTACGACTTTTAGTAGCATAAAATTGCATGTATGAACTTATTACTAAGACATAAAAGAAATTTTGAAAATATATAAAAAATTAAATTTCAGGATATTACGATTTAAACGTGAACTTCTTAAGTTGTCTCTATATAGAATAGAAAGTAGTTTTTATGAAATATCTAACACATCTAAAAAGTTTAATAGCGTTTATGGAAAACTATTATATTGTCGAAAAGAAATTTTTATATAAATTTGCTTAATGCAATTTAAATGTAAAATATATAAATTAATAAATATAACAAATACACATAGATGTATATGTAACGCAGCTGTACATATGTATATATAAAATTGTTTATACTACTTCACATGAACAATAGAGGGTAATGATTTGTTTGTATGAACGAACTTATTTTTATTTATTACAAGTTTAATTTGTTTTAATTTCAAAACTCGTGCTAGACTTTACATAGCAGCATATAAATACATACATATGTAACTATGTATAATTATATGCATATACATATATATGCCGTGTACTAATATATATGATTCTCTTGAATTTGTTTTTTTTTTTAATTTTCCGCACTTTATTTAATAATTTTTTTTCAGCTAAACACACAAACTTATATACTCAAATAACTTATATATTTATTATAAACTTTGTTTTAAACTAGTACATATAATGTTTAATATATTTTATAACTACATACTTCAGTTTTTATTTAAACTGTTTTTTTTTTATATTTTTATTAACTTATATATTAGTAATTAAGTAAATAATATTAAAATTATGTAAAACATTTTATACAAAAACAGAACAGAAAAAGAGCGGCTAATTCAGTTTGTTAAGTGAACTTATCTTTTGATTTTGCATGTAGCAAAAGTATATAGCTGAAGAGCCGAATACTTGGCTTGTTTCTTATGCTTTACTATATAGCTATATAGCTTGCCTTTTCTTCACATATTTCAACTGAAGTGTCAGTTAAGTGTGTTAACGAAGTTGACTTAGCATACTGAATTTGTGCATAGTAATATCAAATATATATTTATAAATATGAAAGACGCTTTCACGTAAGTTATGTGCTTGTATTATTATCGCGTATTTACTTTTATAGCATTATAATTGTTTTTTATTTTTAATTTAGTTTTAACTGATATCCTCCTACTTCCTTGGTTTACGGTTTTTTTTTTTGCAATTTACTTCATATAAAATTATTATTGCTTTAGAGTTTTATTTGTGAATTAATTTATATTTATATGTTGCATTTTAAAAGCATAGCAGACCAGTTAAGTTGTTAGATTTTAGATTTTAAATGTTAATTGTACAATGTTTTATTTTTTTCTATATATAGCATATTTCATTTCAGGGAAGAGCAGTTCTCAACACAAAGCATGAGCATAAAAAAATACATGCAATTATTTTTTATAGCACCTATATGGACAAAAAGAACAGCTGTTCACTAAAGAGCACTAAGTAAATATCTTATATTTTTGTATTCTGCTTTTTTTGTTAATAATTATTGCCCTATATCATCGTATAGTTTTGCATATTTACGCAATTAATTACTAAACAATCGAACAGTGTTGAAACTAAACTAAACTTAATTTCATAAAACAGAGAATTTTTTTATTTAATTTAATTAGTAAAACTTTATTAATTCATTAAATGCAGTTTAGTAAATGTTTGTTATAAATTTTATAAACTTACAATTCTAACAAAAATCAAAAAGAGAAATAATAATAGTAATATTAAATAAATAAAATAAACCAGTTAAATTATCTTTATAAAATTAAAAAAAAAGAACTGAAATTTAATTCAATTAAATAAATTACAAATTTTGAATAATTAAATTTCGTAGAAAAAAAGCAGAAAACAGCTTTTATTTAAACTTTTTGCCCACTAAACACACAATTACATAATATATAATTTCTATAATGGAAAATTTTTATTGTTTTATAAATTTACTTTAAATTTTTCAATTTTTCAAATTCTCAATTTTCGTTCTATATATGTATCTTTTGCTTGAAACGTTAATAAATTTATTTAACTATATTGTTTGCATCTTCTTACTGCTACTATATACTATTTATCCAAGTTTATTTTAAAACAGTAAAATTTTATATATAACTTGGCTATGCTACTAAATCGCAAGTTCTTAACTTTATATGATGTAATTTTATACGAGTGACAGTGAAATTATGTGAGTGTTTACGTGTAATTTACTATACAATTGCATATATTTTAAGTGAGTGTAATTAGGTTTTTTAGTATCGCATAAATTTTCCTCCATTGTTTTTTTTATATATATGTTTATTAAATTGTAATATTTTCCAAACTTTTTTAGAGTTTCTGAATTTTTCTTTACTTTTATCATTAAATACATTATTCAGTGTTTTTTTGTAATTATATAATATTAATATTTTTTGATAATTTTAATATAATATATATATAATAATTTATTTTATACGCTCATTAAATTAAACCTCGAATCTGATTTTTCTTTTATATTTTTATTTATCCACTTAATAGTCTCTTAGACCTAGATAGCATTAGGGAGTTGTGTAGGTTTTGTAGGTTTTCTCGAGGCTCCTTCGTCGGTTAATTTTCGTTTTAGGCTGCATTGGACGCAGTCAATGCTTCCACACACGCACACATCAGTATTTTTTTTTGTTTTTGCATTTTTTAGTTATATTTCTTTATAATTTAGTTATTGTGTTTGCTGTTGTTGCTATACTAATTTTGTGTAGCTTTTTGCTTGTTTATATAATTTTGTTATTTAATATATTAATTTAATTTTTAATTATCATTTTTCCCTTTGGCATATGCATTCGCACTACCAACAGTTTGCGCACCGACACCTCCACTTAATGCAGGATTATTGTCGCCAGCGCTGTTATTCATTAAATTATTCGATTGATGCGAGTTTATGCTCTGCCCTGTACCACCAGTCGACGCTGTTGTACCGCCTTGATTAGCTTTTGAACGATTTAATTCCAATTCGTGTAATTTTTTCCACAGCTCTTCGCGATCCCTTTCACGTTTTTTTTCTCTATAAAATATACAATTATTATATATATTTATTTTTTATTTATACTAATTATTTATAGCTGCTAAAGAAACATACTTTTGACGTTCTGCTTTGTAGCTAGCCGTTAGCTCATCGAATAGCTTTGAATTCATTTCCATAAATGTTTTTAATACGTTATAGACTAACGCTACAATTGTTTGGTTCCAATGCTCTTTGCTTATTCGATAGAGCGCTGGAAACATTATAGGCATAATTACAGCGTTATTTTCTTCTATCAACGACATTGCGTATTCATTGTTCCATAGGTAGAGGGCTCGCTCAGCGACCTATATTTTAAGAATGTTGAAAAAATATAATTAAAAATTGTTTGTAGTGTTTACAAAAATTTATTAAAAGTTTAATTACTTAAATTAGAATTAAATTTTCCCTTAGGCAACATTAATTCAAATATTAATTCCTAACATAACGATTTAATAATAAAAAAACTGACAGGCTGCCCGCCCTACTTAGCACTATCTAATCACAGAGTAATCACTAACCGGACGGGGCGGTACGTAGATCTTAGATTAGTCATTGAATAATCACGAAGCTTATGAGGAATACACTTATTAGTCAATGAGATGGGTGGGTCTCTGCAGAAACCCCCAGCTCTCAAAGAGTAAAAGGCTCAACATTAGACATTAGACGATTGATGTTATGAGAAATCGCTTTATTATTCTAATAAACTAATTATTGTTGACATTAGTATCCATGTAAAAGTCTCCTTTATTATTTTTACTATATAATTACTATATTATCAACAATCTGTCAACAGAATATATTCAGCAATTAAGTTCAGTTCACTTATTATTATGTAACCATACCTCAAGCCCACTCTCACTTTCTTATAATCCCCTTTCGTCCCACACAACCAATACCCATCGACATCTTAACCCATGTATTCGTAATGTAATTTTTTTAATGTAACTTCGTTTCAGCTCTATAATATGATACCCCGATGTTACATATAATGTTAGCCTTACTACAGGAAACTTACTATTATTTCTTAATATTTCTGAATTTTCGGAACCAAATAATTATAATATTTGAATACTTATAAATAAAAATATTTTTACCTGAAAATGAGGACTCGATACACATTTTGCTATTTGCCGAAATAATGGTTCTTGAATTTTGACAAATTGCGGCGGATCTATTACATCTAAAATTTCTTCAATTTCACCCAGAAACATAACCTCTTTTTGTGAGCACGTTTTCGGCCAGAACTTCAAAAGGCCACGCACAACTGGTTCGGTTAGGAAAGGATCCTTTTCGAGAAATTGCACAATGCAATATGCCAGTTGAGCATGATAAAGTGATAAGCACTTGACTTTGTGCAATGGTAATAGAACCTTTACCAAGAATTGTTTGTGTTCTGCTTTTAAGGGCAATGCAAATCCATTAATTATACTATAATTTAAAAATGTGTTCATTAAAAACGTCATTATTATCGATTAGGTATATTCAATTTTTATATACAAACCTGCCAAGAATTTCTAATAATTCGCCAACACCATTGAAATGTTCCGTTTCGTAAATGAAACGTAAAAATATATTATTTATTTGCTTTCGTATAAAAGCACGTAATCCTAAGAATTTTCCATATATACGATGCAACACCGTTTTCAAGAAGTCACGCTCTCGAGGGTCTTCAGAATCGAAAAGTTCTAGCAACTACAAATATATAAATAAGATTTCATTTATTACTATTATTATTTTTAATTTGTTTAAAACTCACTTGTAGCACAAACTTTTGGTCGATTACACGTTTACCAATTGTCGCCTGGAAATCTTGCGATTCCAGAAATCTTAAGAACACTTCATAAACCAATTGTAGGTGTGGCCAAGAAGCCTCCAGTGTAGGATCATCTTCCTCAGGATCAAAATCAGGATTTTCACTTGGAGGCAGTGTGCGAAACAAATTACATGAAATCTATGAAAAAAATATTTAAGTAGAGAACTTCTTTTATGTACTTTTAACAAATTATATGTAAATATGTAAATACCATGCGTATAATTTCTGGATAAACTGGCTCTGTGAGTACACCACGACCATGTGTAATGTAGGTGGATAGGTCATTTAGTGCCGCACGCTTGATTTCTTTTCCTTTCAAATCCGTAACTGGATCCATAAAATCAAATGATACGCAACACTGACGTAATTTACGAATAAATAACTCCTCTTGTTCTAAACTTGAGCAATCAGCTGTGAAATAGATAGTAACAAAAATTAAATAATGAAAGTACAATATATACAAGGAAGAAATTTTAATTTTTAATGTACGAAATTACATGCCTCTTCGGTTTAATATTGTCAAAACATATTTGAAGCGAAGACAAGGATTAACATACATATTTAAAAATATAGACTTGGTTAACTTTTAGAAAATGGATATTTATTAATGCGAAATATATTAAAGTACGAAATCTGACATTTATTTCTTTGTACAACGTTTCAATTTTGAAATCAATAAATAAAATTTTGCCAAACAAAGTAATCAATGATTGAGATTGTAAATAAATGTTATATTAATATATAAACATTTTATTAAAATTAAATAACCTGCTTTAATTAGCTTCATATTTTTCACATTGTATATAAATTTCAGTGAATAATGACCTAGGCTCTTTTAAAGAATAAAAAGTGCAAAAAAAGATGTAAGAAGTTATATACTAAACTTAAGCTCAATAGATTGGAAATAATATAGGGGGAGTTAAAGAGTGATTATCGTTGAATAGATTGGAATCGTCTTCATTACGTAGTCAGACAGCTTAAGATCGTGGATACTACTAATTTGAAGGATTCTATACTCCTGAGAGATAAAATTATTACTTTAGTCATAAGATAACACATTGCGAGTGAGAGAACGAAGGAGAGTATATATGTCCAGATATGACACTAAAAGAAGACATGTCTGTTTATATATAGGTACAGTAACATTTAAACATCGAATTTATTTTTAAATGATAACATTGTTAATTTAGTCATGACTAAATTAAGAGGCACATGTCCATATACTACTTTGGGAAAGCAAATGTCTTATTATGGACACAATAATATGGTATATTGTCTATAATAAAATAACACCCTCCATTATAACAAAAAAAAATTGCTGGAAAAGCCGTGTCTGTATATCTGAGCTACTTGTAAACGATAATTTAGTGATCCCTAATACAATTTATTAATGTTCTCAAGAACGGTAGAAAGTTCACTTCACTCTTTCTTCACTTTAAGATCTCCAATAAAAACTTTAACATATTTTGCACTAAATCACAACCGATATATGCAAAACACTTTGTTCTGACATTTGTTTATTAATTTTATTACGATTATTGTTTTTTATCTATTCTTTTGTATCTTTTATCTATTATATAAAAAAAACTGTTTAGAATTTTTCTTTTATGTTTAATTTATTTTTTACTTTAATTAAAAATTATTCAAATACCCTTCTTCTTTAATGAAGCTCTTATTTTATTTTTTATTACTTTATTGACAAACAGCTCACCGAAAATTTTGAATGTAAATATTTTATTGAACGTTCAATATAGACATATAATTCAGACTAAACTTTTCCAGATTAATTTTGCATATAAATACAAATATTTCTATTCCTTCTAAAATCAGTTTTTTTTATCAACTCAACGGATATAAAAAAAATCAACGGATATTATTGAACTTCAATTAAATTTTCACAAACACAAATAGAGATTTTAATAAAAGTTGATAATTAAATATATATTAAAAGTATTTATTATTATTATTATTATGGCAATTATAATACAATATTATAATATTATAATAAATGTAATTATAGTTTACCTTTTAGTGGCGGCAATTGCTGTATTTCAACATCCTGAGAGTTTCTATATCTGGAGGAACCTTGACTCTTTTTACTTTTCTTCTTTAATGATCGTTTGGCAAACGGGTCAATTCGGTCCACAAAAGTTCCTGATGACATGGTTTCTGATTTATCAATTGTTGTTGTTATTGTTGTTGTTGTTGATGAATTGTATGATTTAGGTAAAGTGGTTATAGATGGATCCGTTGTCAAAAAGTTGTATATAATATATAACAATTAATAACGTTTTAATGTGAATATATTTTTATGTAGTTTAAAAGTCGTTTTTCGTACTTTTACATTACATAAATACAACTACAAAGATTAGCTTACAATAAGTTTTGGCCAATATTTTTGTTCTGATAATAGCGGTAGCAATTATTAGTATTTCTTAGTAGAGGAAGTAATGATAAATATTTCAGCTAATTTAGATTAATATTTATTTAAAGCTACAATTTTTTTCAATGGATCGTTGATCGTGTTGTTGTTGTATTTGATTATCCCTTAAGAAACGTATTTCTATTTTAGCCACTATTGCTTCTATTATAGCCACTTCTTTCGCTTCTAACAACTGTATTACTTGATGGAAAAACTTATTGATAATAAATAGCTTAACACAAACGTCTACAAACAGTTTAGATAATGATCTTGTAAGTGATACCCCTTCACACAATGTTGTAATTATATTAATTGGCTTCACGCTCTTAGTTTGAAAAGTTTCTTTATTATTGCTTCTCGACTCAAAACAGTTGTAGTGTTCGGAGAGAAAATGATTATGTACACTGAATAGTGTGATAATAGTCTGAAATAAAAAAAATATGGAATTATATTTTGATTATATATTATTTGATATACATATATATACATGAGTAATTCTGCAAAAATATTTGTAATTAACCGTTCTTTATAAACAATATTAATATGATTGCAATAATAATTTGTTAAGAAAATCATTTATTTATAGTATCGTATAGTACCGTAGATTTATGATTACAACGTTAACACAAGTATAAGAAAGGTCCTATGAGTTATTTTAGTAGTAATAGAAAGTAATTTAGTAAGTAATAGAAAGTAGTGTATGTGAATAATTATATTCGAATAACATCAAATATATTCACATATATTTTTTATTTTGTGAATTATAGCACTTATATTATCAACATAGCGAATCTGTCAACTGTTTTTAAGTTCTACACATTCTACTGTATTGAAAGCGCTTTTCTATTTTTCAAAAGACGAATCGATAAATAAAGTGTACCATAGAGTGTATCTTTCACTTTACAGATATTTTATTTGCGATTTTCCTACTTATGTGTATGTAACATAATATTTTCTTTGTATAAAATAATCAGCATATTTATGTATGTATATTTTGATATATATAAATTTATTATTACACTATTATATTATAAAAAATATAATTTTAGAAAACAATCGAAAAAGTGAAAAAACAATCGTTTAATTTAAAACAAAATTCAATTAAAATTTGAAATAAATTTGTAGTTCAAGTGATAATCCTTGTGATTAACAGCTGTCATTCAGTTTGCTACGATAACAAATGATCCTAAAAGACTTCTGACCATAATCTTTCAAGATAACTTTGAAACAGGTTTCAAAGTTACAACTGTCTTTGATAGAACCACTCTGTAAACACGAATTTAACAACGATGGAAAATAAATTCTCAAATGGTAACTTTATATAAAGAGGTTTTCGAACAGAAGTGAAACAACAACAAAAATTTATTTTTTAAATTATTTTAATTAATTGAATTTTTGGCTGACCATACATCTGTTTCGAGTATTGCCAAATACCCTTCATCAGTGGTCTTGGAAATCATTCTTGAATTTAATTATTCGTAAATAATTATTTTTTGAGACTGCAAGTACCAGGAATCGAACTCGGGTCCTGCCAAAGTGAAGCTCAGAATCAGCGCACCTTAACCAACTGATCCAAAGCCGTACTTGACTTTTTATGTGCGCATATTTTTCTGGAGTTTTTATTAACAATTTCACTTGCTATGTTTATATTAGAACGAAATCATGAACCAGTTGTAGAATAATTGAATTAATAAATTAATTATATTTTTATTTTTAATTGTTAAATTTCAATACTATTCTGTTCGTAGAAGCATTATTTCTTGCATGATTTGTTCTTTGTTATGTATAGAACCTAATCTAGGAACGTAATGCTGAGAAAGCCATGCTAATGTTACTCTACTAGACGCACGGGCGAGACCAATATTTTGTGAATATAAGTTGTAATTTAACGTCGTATTTTGCAGACGAAAGTGACTATTATATATTAATAGAAACTTATTATATTTCATAAAGAGGTTTTTCGAACAGTAGTGAATACAAAACAAAAATTTTATTTTTTATATTATTTTAATTAATTTAATTTTTGGCTGACCATACATCTGTTTCGAGTATTGCCAAATACCCTTCATCAGTGGTCTTGGAAATCATTCTTGAATTTAATTATTCGTAAATAATTATTTTTTGAGACTGCAAGTACCAGGAATCGAACTCGGGTCCTGCCAAAGTGAAGCTCAGAATCAGCGCACCTTAACCAACTGATCCAAAGCCGTACTTGACTTTTTATGTGCGCATATTTTTCTGGAGTTTTTATTAACAATTTCACTTGCTATGTTTATATTAGAACGAAATCATGAACCAGTTGTAGAATAATTGAATTAATAAATTAATTATATTTTTATTTTTAATTGTTAAATTTCAATACTATTCTGTTCGTAGAAGCATTATTTGTTATTTCTTATGTATAGAACCTAATCTAGGAACGTAATGCTGAGAAAGCCATGCTAATGTTACTCCACTAGACGCCCGTCGAAACCAATATTTTGTGAATATAAGTTGTAATTTAATGTCATATTTTGCAGACGAAAGTGACTATTATATATTAATAGAAACTTATTATATTTTATAAAGAAGAGGTTTTCGAACAGAAGTGAAACAACAACAAAAATTTATTTTTTAAATTATTTTAATTAATGAATTTTTGGCTGACCATACAGCTGTTTCGAGTATTGCCAAATACCCTTCATCAGTGATCTTGGAAATAATTCTTATATTTAAATATTCGTAAATAATTATTTTTGAGACTGCAAGTACCAGGAATCGAACTCGGGTCCTGCCAAATATGAAGCTCAGAATCAGCGCACCTTAACCAACTGATCCAAAGCCGTACTTGACTTTTTATGTTCGCATATTTTTGCTGGAGTTTTGTTACTTTTGCTATGAAAGTTTTTATTAACAATTTAACTTGCTGTATTTATATATTAGAACGAAATCATAAACCAGATATAGAATAATTGAATTAATTAATTAATTATATTTTTTTTATTTTTAATTGTTAAATTTCAAAACTATTCTATTCGTAGAGGCATTATTTATTGCATGATTTGTTCTTTCTTATGTATAGAACCTAATCTAGGAACGTAATGCTGAGAAAGTCATGCTAATGTTACTCCACTAGTCGCACGGGCGAGAACCAATATTTATTGGCGAGAACCATATTTTTGTGAATAAGTTGTAATTTAACGTCAAATTTTCCAGACGAAAGTGACTATTATAGTTTTAATAGAAACTTTATTATATTTTTTATAAAGAGGTTTTTTCGAACAGTAGTGAAATACAACAACAAAAATTTATTTTTTATATCATTTTAATTAATTGAATTTTTGGCTGACAATACAGCTGTTTCGAGTATTGCCAAATACCCATCATCAGTGGTCTTGGAAATCATTCTTGTATTTAATTATTCGTAAATAATTATTTTTTGAGACTGCAAGTACCAGGAATTGAACTCGGGTCCTACCAAATGTGAAGCTCAGAATCAGCGCACCTTAACCAACTGATCCAAAGCCGTACTTGACTTTTT